TCTATGATTCTTCTGAGCCATTCACCTGTTTTCACATCCCCTACTGCTTCTTCATGTCTCCCCATTCCATTTCTCTATCCCTTACTTTTTTTTGGCTTGGCTTACACACACATGAGTGTGTGAGGGTTTGCTGGCACTCAGAGAAATTGGGCTATATGATTTGGCTGGCAAGAGTGTTTGAAAGAGGTTTTGAGGGTACATTAGCTGGCAGAGGGAAAGAGCTGGCTAGCACAGGGAGAGGAACAAATAATTTGTGTCCTGTGAGTAATTTATTTGCACACAAAGGTATGGGTTCAAAGGAATGGTTTTATGTTTTGGGACTCAGATCCCGCTTCTGTTTTTAGGTTAAGTTACTTGTCATTTAGCCCCATCAGCTTATTTTGTATAATGGGTACTGCTGTGTCCACCTTATTATGAATTGCCACCGACTCATGGCAGACAGTTTGGATGGTACCCCCAAGATATTCCAAAATTCCAAATGTGTTTAGTGGTTCAAAATATGCTAATGTATATTATTTTTCCTGACCGAACTTTTCCATAAAATTTGGATAATATAAGATTGTTCTGAATTTGGTCAGACAGAAAAAACATAGAGGACTTAAGACCATGGAGTGTTGTTGGTGAAGTGAACCTTCAGTGCTGAGGTGAGAAGTCTGAAATAAAAACACTGAAATTGAACAAACATAATGAGCAATTTCTTGCTACCCCTAATATGCCTGACCTGTCTGCCTCCGTTATTCCCCATTACTATATTGGTCAGATACTGTATACTTATGTATAAGTCTAGCAATTTTTCTGTTCTGTGTTATGTTAGACCATGGGGGGGGGAAGCATAAAACTCACAGCAAAAGCTTTATCTCTGCTCTTTCTGTAGAGAGGCAGACTTCTTTCATTTAATTTGATTGTGTACGGGATGCAGAGTTACTTAACTTTGACGTGATGTAACCATGGCTTGCATTGGAACTGCTGAGTCACAAGCAGCTACGTGGCTCTGTTTTCAAATAACAATTCTTCTTGCCTTCATTTATTGAAATTTATAGTTAGCAGTCATCCATATCACACATTAGAAGATCAAGCCATGAAACAGTTGATTTGCAGCCTGCTTAACAAAGAATGACTTTTACCGCTTTGTGGTTCAAATCATGTCGACTGGTGCCTTAGGATGGAGAAATAGTGAGCAGTTTCCTTTGTCAGTTTTGAACCTTCCTCATCACCTTTGCTTGCAACATTGAGGTTCTCTTGGATCAGGAAAGATCTATGGAAAGTACCTGAAAGCACTTCCCATCAGCTCTATCTGCAATTGGATCTTTCCAATAGGTGCTACATTTGCTGTACCCTTGATAAGGTTAACCTATTGAAATGTCCTTTCCGATAGTCTCACCTTTGATAGAAGAGCCCAGTCACACTACACAATTACAGCACTATGATTCCACTTTAACTGACACCCTATGCAATCCTGGGATTTGTAGTTTTGGGTGTATTTAGAATTCTCAGCCAGAGAGCTCACATACCTCAGCAAACTATAGCTCCCAGGATTCCAGAAGATGTAACCATTGCAATTAAAGTGGGATCATAGTGTTATAATTATGGAGTGTGAAAGGGCTCCTGGTAAAGGGCTCACAGAGCAGCTTCATACATTATGGCATGTAATTACAGTCAGCCCTCCATATCCATGGTTTTTTTTATCCACGGATTCAAGCATCCACAGTTTGAAAATATTTAAAAACATATAAATTTCAAACAGCAAATCTTGATTTTACCATTTTATATAAGGGGCACTTTGGTCCTGGAACCAAACTCCAGCAGCTGTCATGGGCCAGCTGTATAAATATATTATTTCTCAGTTATTTTTATTTTATTAATTTACTTCATTGATATGCCACCTTCCTCCCAGGGTGGGACCCAAGGCAGCTTCCAGAAATCTATTTAAAGCATTTACAATAACTATTTTAAAACAATCAAAATTTCCCCACATTAAACACTATAAAATCATTTAAAAGCCGTACAAAAGTTAAAAACAAATAGGGCACGCATCTAAATTAGAACCTTCCTTTACGTTGTGTACATGCAGTTGGTCATTGTACATATGATACTAGAGGAGAAATATGGTTATCTTATTTAGAGGTCTGATGCTTGGGAATTTGAAAAACTTTCAGAAACTAGTGGATGCGATGCAGGTATATATCCTCACTCTTGGATGCAATATCCAGCGCTCCAGTCAACAGTGCCTGGGTCGTTCTCCCCCCTGCCCCCATGTGTTTCATTGGGAACTGAAAGTCAATTCTTTACGGCAGTGTGCTTTCCACTGGTAATCAATCAGTGCTTGCCAAGCAAAAGAGAGGGTGACGCCTTTGCAGGGCGGATATTCTCTAATACAAGATTCCAGGATGATGATGGGGGAGAGGGAGGCAGTGGGAGCTGGTGGCACTTATATCCAGGATTTCAGCCTACCCTAAAACTTAAAGGCACTGTCCTAAGTGCTGATCCTCCTCTGCACCATTGAAAACATCTTTATAGCCAAATTGAAAGGTGACATGGGATCTATCAGCCAGCACTGGAATCATTGGACTTTTGATGATCTAGACCAGGGGTAGGCAATCCAAGGCCTGGGGGCCAGATGCGGCCCCCTGAGGCCTTTGGACCGGCCCCAGGCTGGTTCTGCCACCACTGCCCCCCGCCGCCCGCCATGATGATATTGATTATTGTTGTTATTACTTGTTCTTGGGGTTTTCTTGGCAAAATCTCCACAGGGGTTTTGCCATGGCTTTTCTGGGGCTGAGAGAGTGTGCATGCATTTTTCAAAAAATTTTAAATTTTTTATATTTATTTATTTATTTATTTATTTTTGGTGCTTCGGCCCCCCAATTGTCTGA